TCCCCTGCCTCCTGTCTTCCCAGTTGGTTTTCTTCCCTTACAGACTCACTGTGGAGCAATGGTAGGGATGCAGAGTATTGCCCTTTTAAACATACACAGCAGAGGAGAAGTCATTTTACAGTGTGCTTACCAAACTGAAAACATGCTAAGTCTCATACTTCTTTTCCTCATGTGGTAGAACCTACGCACAAATTTTTTTCTCTAGAAAGAGGTTAACCCTAATTATGTACTAAAGGTCTGGACACTGAGGCTGAATATATACTCTTCTACTTCAACATACTACAAAACCTAACTAAAGAGTATTTCTTTTTTTCCTTTCCCCCCTCTCCTCCATTGCCAGCTTGTCATCTCCAAGATTTTTGGTTTTTTCTTTTTTACCTTTTTTTTTTTTTTAAATACAGCAACTTTTCAGTAATGGAATTTACAGTGGGTAAAAATCAAAAGACAAGGATTTTCTTACAGAGAAAAAAAGACAGAAAGCTACCAACAGATATCATGGTTTAAGTGCTACAAGATGAGACAAACTATCTTCCTGTTGTCGCTATAAAAGAAATGAGAAACTAAAAAAAAAAAAAAACCAAAACAAAACAAAAAAACCCGCACCTAACAAAATCTAAAAGCAGTGAGCAAACTTAGAAGAGTGTTAAGTTGGCCACGGTAATATAGCTATGTTACAAAGAATGACTACACAGTGATGTGCATCACAGCCCTACATTTAAAAATCTTTCAACACAGCTTTAATCATTTAGATTTTACACATCAGCAAATGCTAAGTTGTTATCTTCATCTTAATGCTGACTGAGCTATGTAACTGTCTGACTTCAAACACAGCCACCTGCCTGCCTTTGGTATATTTATACATGTATACATGGAAAAAACGAAAGGTTAGTACTGCAAGTAGGAAAAAAAGGAAAAAAAAAAAAAAGACAAAAGGGGAAAAAGACACGACACAACACATTCTGCTTTCAGCAGAGATAGGACAACATGTCTCAAATGGTCTCTAAATAGGCTAAAGTTGAGCTGATCTTACAATTATAGCGTAAACAATGCCTGGGTTGCAGTTATGTTATTTGAAAAGCAAATAAAATTAAAACAAAATGAAATCTCTAGAGACCTGTATCAACTTCTGTATGTTTAGCCATACCCTTAAAAGTTTACTATTCACTCACAAAGAGAAATAGACAAACATGAATATGCCAAGCGAACAGACACAGACCAGTCCAGTATTTAGTAATAGTTTAACTTTTGGAGTCTCTTCCAGCATTTGTAAACAAACAGTCTCTTCCTCCACCTCCCGAACAGCTCTCTTGTTCATATTTTTACTTTTAAAGCCACAGAACCAATCTATGAATTTCAAATGTCTCTCTCTTTCATCAGTCTCTTCTTCATGCTTTTTCTCCCCCATCAAAGCCACTTGTCCATTCGAATAACAATCAACTGGCGTCTCAACTTCAGAGTGACTCACAGAAATCACAGGGTTGCTGTCATCTCTGCAAGTAACCAGAAGATTGATATCCTCTGGCTTGATATTTTTAATATTTTCTTCCGATTTGCCATTTGGAATTATATGGTTAGCATTTTCATTGCACTTGAGGATGCTCTTTTCTTGCACTTTGTACAGCTCCCCCTTTGCAGCGCTCTCTTTCACATTCCTGTTTTTCACAGCCCAGAAAGTGGTTGTCCGAACCTGCTCCTTCGTAGGTGGAGGCGTGAGAAGGCTTACTACAAAGGTCACAATCCCAGTGATCCAGAAGAGAGTTGTTGCAACATACATGTAATGGATGTTTTTGATAAAGCTTGGCCTAGTATCCAGCTGGTTACACTCAGGAGCACGATAGATAAATGCCAGTACCAACCGTATCGCTCCAAGAACAAACCCGGCCATTCCGCCATAGAAAGCCCCCTGCTCATTGCAACGCTTCCAAAAGATACCCATAAGAAACAGAGCAGCCACCGGTGGGGTCAAGTAGTCCGCTACCTCTTGGATATAAAGGTACATCTGACCACCTTGCATTTCTACAATTATTGGGACCCAGGCAATGCTGATAACTACCATGAACGCGACAAAAACTCTTCCTACAATCATCAGTTCTCTAGACGTCGCGCTCTTCCACATCAAGTGTGAATATGGTGCTGGCACTGTTGAATATAGAGTCCAAGTCACTCATCAGTGCAGCAATCATCACAGCCATCATCAGTCCCCGCAGACCAACCGGCACAAGTTTCATCACCAAACGTGGGTAGGCAATGTTAGAGCATCCCGCTCTGCTCCCGCAGACTTGAAAACAGTGTTCCGGATTAATGCAGGCGATATCATCTGCAAACAGTATTCGTGAAATCATCCCTGGGACAACTATAATAAACATTGGCAGCAGCTTTAAGAAGCCTGCCATCAGAGTGGATCCTTTGGCATGAGCAATGTTTTTTGCAGCTAGAACTCTCTGAACTATGACTTGATCGGCACACCAGTACCAGACAGAAGCCGGAGTCTGTCCCAACAGAAATCCAGGCCAGGGAATATCTTCATCTGTTGGCTCACGCAACATTTTAAGAGCATCGGGCTTTGGGTCGACATTGCAGGAATTGGTATTGGAAATGTTGTAGGTTAACAAGATAGATGTAATATTTGGTGACGCTAACATGTACCTTCTTTTAACTTCTTCAAACCCACCAACCTCCGTAATACTTATGATCATAAGTGTGAGGGCACCAATAATCATAAGCAGAGCTTGAAGCGTGTCTGTGTAGATGACAGCCACAAGACCTCCAGTCACAGTCAACAGCGCAGTCATTCCAATTAGGAGGATAACTGACAAATAGAGGTTCCAACCTAGTGATTCTTGAATAAAAAGTGCCCCTGAATACAAGTCAACTGAGAGTTTGGTGAAGATATAAAGAATTAGAGACAACGCTGCAAAATATATTTGAATTCTATGCCCTCCAAAACGCTTGGATAAGTATTCAGGCATGGTGTATACTCCCGACCGGATGTAGACTGGGACGAAGACCCATCCTAAAAGCTGCAAAAGCATTAAGGCGTTGAATTCCCATGCACCTACTGCAAATCCACTCGCCGCTCCAGATCCTGCGAGCCCAATGAAATGTTCGCTTCCAATATTGCTCACAAATAAAGATGCACCAATAGCTACCCAGGTCATAGAACGCCCTGCCAAAAAGTAGCCACTTACGGTGCTCCGATTGTATTTCCACATGGCAAAAAAACCTATGCACATTACAAGCACGAAGTACAGCACCACAATGGCAATGTCTGCTGTTTCCAAAGAAGCCCTCATTTTTGTAAACAAAATGCCTTCGCACAGCTGACGTCCACTTCTCGCCCCCCAGCAAACGTCTTTTAAGCCACACGTGAACCAGTTAACATATATCAACACTGTGGATCAAATTCTTTGTCCCTTGGTTTGCTGTCCTGATGCTGGTGGTTGTGGTACATTTACTTTCTCCGCTTCTCAAATGGAAATTTGGAACTTAGCACGCACTTTTAATCCACATTCCACAAGAGCATCAGCCTTAACTCAGTTGATGTAGGAGAAATTCTTAGTTGCAGCTAAGTTTAGTGAGGCCTACTGTACCAACCCTGCAAGGCAGCAAAGACAAAAGACAAAGATTGAATTAGAGAAGAATTTCATGAAGTAATGAGAAAAAATTTGAAGTCTAGTAAAACAATGACTGAACACCACAGATTTTTCCCCCTTATATTTCCTGCTGTATTTATGCAATCCATAACAGACATAATTGAATATTTGTAGAACTAAGTAGCAATGCCTTTTACAAGTCAACTTTAATGTTTATAAGTACCTTAAGGGACGCAGCAATTCTGGATTACTAAATGACCCAAATTCCCCACAACAAGGCAAGGAACAGAAATACATTTTATTTTTCTTTAGAGTTTCAAAAGTCTGCTTCTCAAGACACTAAACAAGACTTCCTCTTTCAAGCAATCTTAGGGAAATAAAACAAAACCAAACAAAAAACAGCCACTAAGGAGCATTAACCTGGCTAGTCATTTCCTGTGTTGCTCTAGCACTGCACCCCACAAATCTTCATAGATCCTGGCATCACATGCATGCACTTAAGACACCAGCTGGCTGCTAGAGCTAAAAATCAAAGCGAAGTCGTGATACTGTCAAAACCCCAAAAATTTAAGATCAGCTAGAAAAATCAACGTTATTCAGATGAGGTTGCACCTGTCTGGGGTACAGATGATTACAGAGTTACATTTTACTCTGAAAGCTCTTCATTCATATCCCATGTAATCCAAGGGAAGAAAAAGTCCCATTCAGACAAGGAACAAAAGCAAAACAATGCCTGACATCTAGCTTTAGGGTATTTCTGTCTGCTATGTGCCTTTTGATCCTCACACCCACATGGTTTCAGCATTTTTTGGGAGCAGCCTAGGCACATGGGAGAGAACCGCATGGAGTTTTTAGCAGTCGCAGTTGCTAGGATGCCAGGAAACAGTTCCCAGCACTATCCATGTGTATCCAAGCACTAATGGGATCACTAACATCAGAAGTAGAGGGTTTTGAGGCAAAGCATACCCTGCCACTCTATTCCTGAACCCCCAATCACACCCAATTCTACCAAAGCATATCAGGAAACAGGCACTCATTTCACCAAGCAGGTTTGAAGTGCTCAAAGGAGGAAAGGGGATAATACAACGACTTGTTAGCAAGCAATCAGACAGGCTGGAGAGTAAGAGGCACTGAAGAGTTGCACAGTGGCTCCTACTTCTGCTGTGAATATAGTATAACCCTATCTCCTTCTACACGTCGGGAGGTGTCGTCTACCTATACACAGCTGTCCTGGGTGTATACACCCAAACCTTTATGGGTTTACAGAGTGCTGGACATAAGATTCTTCTACTTCCTACACCAAATGTGCACAGCAAGGGGAAGACCAAAGCAAAGAACTGGTTTAGTCTAAAAAACAGAACTCAAACCTTTAGCATTCAAGATTATTACAGAAGAGTAAGGAACAGGGTCTGACCCAATTCCTTTTTCCCACCTGCTAGTAAACATAATATAGGCACACAAAAATGAATTCTAAAAAATAAAATAAAATTAAATAAAATCACTGCACTGGATCTTTTTTCTGAGCATAAGTTCTACCAGCCTTAGAAGTCTTACTTCAAGCAACTGCTTCAGGCATTCCCCCTTCCACTTCATTTGTAGAAGTGCTTTGGCACTATGCTGAAGCTCACATTTCCTTATTAATTCATCTATGATTAACTAAAACAGTCACTTAACATTCTAGCATTTGGGTGGGCTCCTGTTTAGCATCCCTGAAGCATATTACATTAAAAAAAAAAAAAAAAAGGAGCAAATAAAAACATTAGAAATTCTCAGAGAAACCATAATAAAAACTATAGTTAAGGTTGAAAATGCAGCCATTTTCCCCCCCTCTACCTTACTTTGTACATTACTAAAGCCAGCAATGTTGCTGATAAAAATACATCTATCTTAATGCAAAGTGCATGTTTTTACAAAACAGCTTACAGCTAACCACAACTTCAGCCTTGAGAAATTCACAATCATAGTACTCATATAAGCTGGCTGTTCTTCAAGAGTAGTTCAGAATCAAAAAAGATAATAAGGGTTCCCCACCACCACCACAAACCCACATGAGAATACAGATATTCATTCTGCAGAAGTTATAGCCAATAAAGAGACTATGGAGACATGGCACAAAATGGACTGATTACAGTAGTGTGCTAAATTTATCATGCTCATAAGCCTCAAACCACAGATGTATTTTAAATCCTTACATAGAAGGATTCACATTTATCCCCACCCGCAAATGAAGTGGTAGTTAAATGGTCTATTAGTTTAATCCAATACAAAATTATGAACACTTCAGATCATGACACAATCAGATGCAAGTATAATGTACTACTCTTAGTTTCAAGCACTTTTGAGTAATGTTTTAATAGTTTTGCATCTTTCACTATATTCAGCCAAGTTTTCAAATGCAACTACATTGTAATGTTTATATCAAAACTATAAGCATTTTAAGGAAAGGGGAAGAAGATACTTTCCTCAGAGTGGTAAGAAGGAAAACTACCACACGGAAAATCAGAATAATGGGCAAACTAAGGAAATAGTAATAAGTGGTATTTTCCCTCTTCTATTGTCCTGTTCTGTTACTGGAAAATGTTATACTTGAACATTAGTTCACTTTCCACCATGTCCCCTGTATGTTAATCAATGACCTTACAAAACTATATTATACTGTAGTATCCATAAATAGAAAAATATTTGTTAAAACTGTATCTATTTGATACAAGAGGTACCAAGCTCATAGTAGAACTATTACAAGCATATTCAATCCCACTGAAACGTGTGTAAGTATTAGATGCAGCTGCCCTTGAATAAATTGTGATATTTCTCAATTAGGATACTTTGCCAACTACAATGGGCTCATTCTAACCCAAATAAACAATACACGAAGTTTCTTGAGCATTTCCACCTCAAGGCACAGCCATACCATGCATTTGAAATAATCAGCCTACAGGGACCCGAAACATCACCTTTGTAATCACCATCTGAATTTTGCAGGGTTCAGCTTGCTTGAGCAGGAAGGTGGAAAGTTTTCAGTAGCTGCTACAAATCTGCTGCACTGTCACTAAATTACTGTACTAAAGTAGCTTCTTGTACCAGTTTCTTATTAGACCTAATTCTAAAATAACCCTGGAACTTTTTTTCATTACAAAAATGAGACTCATCCCTCTGAACTTTCAGCAAGTTATGACCTCAAGTCTTAAGAAGGACTTTTGAGACGCCCCATGCGAGTTTAATCTCAAGTTATTAGAACAGCATTACATTGTGGCACTGACAGAAAACAAAAAAAGACAGAAAGACTGCACGGCTGCCAAGGACCGATTTTTTTTTTTTCTCCCCCTAAGGCTGTTTTCTGGCTGGATCATATCAAAGACACAAAACAATGTGCTTCCCTCTTGTCTGAAGATAGAGGGCTACAGCTTTGGTGAAACAATGCATATGTCTCTCCAATGGACAGCCTGTCCTATAATAATTAAAAAAAAAAAAAAAAAAAAAAAAAAAAAAAAAAGAAAAAGTCTCGAGCAATTCCCTGAAGACATATTAGATAATGTGAAGCAGATTTAGGGTGGGATTTTTAGGAGAAATTTTTACGACTGTTTTAAAGGAAAACTTTCTCCACAGTGCTTTTCTAATAAAACAGGTCTTTAAGCACGCCAGAATCGAACTGCTCCAGCCCTAGAGCAACTATTTGTTTTCTGCTTAGTGTATTTCTCTTCTCAGCAGATGGTAAGTTTTTCAGTTGACTTTCCTCTTCTTTTACAGCTAAAAAGTCAGTCCCAATGGCAAACGCTTTAAGGGTTGTTTTGAGGACGCAAATGCCCACATATCACACAGGAGTGTCCACTGCTATCATTTGTTAACAAATGAAGTACATACTTAACTGTGTTCCTAGACTTCAAAGAAGTTTTGAGGTTCTTTCTTAGAAGCAACAGATTTCTTCTCCACCTTCTTCAAGCAGGGGTTATGTTAACTCATGCTGGTAGCATTTTACCTATTGGACAACTCATTTGCATGGAAGAAACATACCCAGATCGCCAGGCTCAACACCTACACAGAAAACAACAACAATCTCTCTCCCAGAAAACAAACAAGCAAAAAAATGTCTCACACCTTGAGCAGGCCTGTACAATGTTCAACCCCGTGAGTATGTTGGCTTGGCTGCTCATACTGCAGGCTACCTGCTACAGACACACAAGTGAGTTCCTACCTGCTCCACAGTACACACAAGGCATTCTGAGGTAATCTATCTCGGGGGGTGGGGGGGGAAGAAAAAAAAAAAAAAAAGGAAAAAGCTTCATTCCATTTATTGCAGCATTCTAGAACACAAAAAAGGAGCACAAATATTCTTCATGGAATAACTGATACAAATAACTGAACTAATAACAATAACTGAATAACTGATACTTGTCCTTATGCAATACATGCCCTTGAGAAAGCAGAGACCATCCTTGCCAGCTGCTGAATAGAGCACTAAACATCCAGGACCAAGTTTCAGGACTTTCCCTTGTAAACCAGGAGCTGGGGAATAAAGCTGGGCAGGAATCCCACCTGAGACAAACGGCGTATGTCACAGGAAGCAGGAAAGCTCGGAGGCACAAGTTGACCTGTAGCATCTAATAAATAACTTGAGTTAGGTCTGGACTGGCATTCCCAGCAGCTCAACAGGCTGAAGTAGAAGAGTACCAAATTTACAAGTTACCCAAACCAGCAACAACCTGACTAACCTGTTTGCCACATGTGCTCTGCTGCCCCAAAGTGGTGCTGCATCAACACTTCTGCTGGCCTTCAAGAACACAGGTGCCGCAGAGGCAACTCTATAAATCATCACTAGCATAAAAG